GAGATTGGAAAGATTATAAGATCAACAGGGGGGTGAATGACTATAACAAAACAGTGTTTTGACTATAATGAAACACATCAGGGCAGATACACATATGAACTCGCTGTGGTTGTGACAGTATCATAAGACCTGAGCAAGCTCAAGCCAGAGAAAATCTGAGCATGGAGGGGAGAAGTGATGTGAGGCCCCACCTCTAGCTGAGGAGCTTTTAGCAACTGATAATTGCTTGGAGAGGGAGAGTTAGTTTCTTTAAGGATATGACTTTTGGTATGTCAACCACACTCCAGGGAATGTACCCCCACAAAGAACATATGGGTCACCCAAACTGGGCTCCATGGGCTTTAAATTTAAACAGAGGACACAAAGTTGGGAGGATAGTAGAGAGGTAGAGGTAGATCTGAGAGGAGGTGGGGATAGTGAATATGATCAAAGTTCATTACACAAAATTCTCAAAGAATTAATACAATATCTTAAAAAATACACTAATTAACAATTAATAAACAAATTGCAACAACCATTAACAAAATTATACACAAACCTACACATGCTCTTTGTGGAGACTCTCAACTGGTATTGCCCTTGTTTTTTGTCTCCCTTTTATTTATCCCTGCCTATTATCTACAGACAGTCCTTGGTGTCTACCAGAAATCAGTTCCAGGATCCCTAAGGATGCCCAAATCCAAGGTCAGTTAAAACCCTTGTATAAAATGGCGTGACATTTGCATAAAACCTCCATATATCCTCCCGCCTACTTGAAATCCCATATAATACCTAGTACAGTGTAATGCATTATAGATGTTAGGCTGCATTGTTTAAAGAATGACAACAAAAATAAACTATGTTTTCAAACACCATCTGTGGCTTGTTGAATCTAAGTATAAGGAGCGTGCAGATATGGAGGACTGACTATGCACGCACACAAACACACCTACCTGAACATGCATGTATGCAGCATACCCACACATACATGCACATTCATGTGCACACACACTGTCCTTAGCTGCCCTGCCCTTTCCTCCCTTCACTCCAGAGGGGTTGCTCCATCTTTCGTTAGTTTCACTACTCAACCTTCTTGAAGAGAATGGCTGATGAAATGTCCCACATTTGGGGTTCACTTGACTCATTCTCATGATTAGGTTGAGGCCCTCCAAGCTTGGCAGAAATCCCACAGAGAGGAGACAAAGAAAGACTTTGTCAGGGCCCATCTCTGAAGACACTTGATAATGTGGTTGTCACATTAACAGTGACCCCAGGGTTGAGTGGGTCTTCCTACTTTCCTCATTATAAAGTTCCTTTTTACTCTAGTAATTTATGAGCAGTCTGTCTAGAAAATACTTCAAGAATAGGCAAATGTCTTGTCCTTTATCAAACACTCTGTCTATTAGTTTTAGCATCTGATGATAGGTCTTGCCTGAATTAATTATTAATATTTTAGCTGCCAAAAGAGATTCTCTATTTCTTTTTACTTTTAACAGGCAGCATTCTATTATAAAGAAATTTGGCCTTTCTCCCATGTATTTACTTCTTTAGATGCATTCAGCATACTCGTGGATTGTTATTTCAGTCAGTGTGTTATAGTCTGTTCTAGTCACATCATTGGTACCGTATCCAGATCTGACCATCAGGAGCTGCTTTTCGGTGCAATGTCCTCTCCACATATCACTGCCTTCCTTGGACATATTATTCATTTCTGGTAGAAACGTGCCCAGCCCTTTCTGGACTTTTCTTACGTCTGCCTGGAACCAGCCATTTCTCCTAGGCACTCCTGCATCATCCATCAAGCAACTTTTACAGTGGCTTGAGCATCAGAGAGTCCTCCACTGTGCCGACCACATGCCAAGCTGTGCGGCTTAGCTTGTTGCTCCCAGGCCACAAACCCGAGGACTGAGACAAGTGGTATTTGTGTACCTGGACAAAAAAATAAGTGCAGTACCAACACTAGGTGACAGGTTTCCAGTGTCATTGTCATTGTACAGGACTCCCATGGTATGTGTCACTGACAAGAAAAACTCCAAACACATTACATTCAGTAAATGTACTCGTTTTCTAACCAGGGTGCACACTGGTCAGCTTCTTGGCCCTCCCGTGACGTACTCTTCATCACCCTCTCAAGCCCTCACCTATCAGGTCTCAAGGTCTTTGAGCTCCTCACTGTTCCTGGCCTCATCTGACCTGATGCCTCTGGCATTGCTTCCTTGGACTCTTTCAATACATATTTTTAAAGTTAATTTTTATTCATCATCATTATTATTAGCGTGTGTGTATGTGAGAGAGAGAGAGAGACAGAGAGAGAAAGAGAGAGGACAGACAGAGAGAGAGAGAGAGAGAGAGAGAGAGAGAGAGTAAGCATGCGAATTCCATAGCATCTGTGTGGAAATGAGAGTATAAATCTAAGGCATCAGTTCTCTCCTTCCACAAAGGAATCTGCTTGGTCCTCTCCTTGGCCACCAATGAATATTTTAAAAAATCTAAAGGAAGGAACGGAACTCTTGAACTCTATGACTATGCTTTTGAAATATTTTTCTCTTTAATTTGTGGATCTAAAAAGTAGGAAAAAAAGTTATACCCAAATCTGAAGGGTCAGGAGATGGAAAGATGTGCATTTGAGAATGTGTTCTATAAGCCACCCCCACCTCTGACTGAGAACATTTCTCTAGAGAAGATTACTTCTTCTAGAAATTTTTTTTTAAAATTTACCAGTGAAACTAAATAAACAGAATTTTCAGGGTGATTTTTTGTCTTGAGACAGGGTCTCCCTGTAGTCCCAGCTGGTCTGGAACTTGCTATGGAAACAGGGATGGTTTTGATTTCACAAAGATTCACCTACCTTTGCTTTCCGAGTACAAGGATTAAAGGCATGCACTGCCACATCCAGCTTGAAAAATAGTTTTTCAGTTTTTGAGTTGTATGTGAATCTTTATAAAATTGTTCATAGATTTAATACTAACTTTTCAGGGGGAAAAGTCTATTCTGCTTTAAATGTATGACAGACCAGATCAAGGTCATGCTTTAGAAACAAATCCTGTAAACTATAACATAATTAATAATGTTCCTTCCTTTTAATGTCACAGTCGGATGTAGGTTGGGCAGCCGTCCTCCTTGCAGCTCGGCACATGGCCTCCAATGTTATGGGTGGAGGAAGGCACGTGCTGTCACAGGGTTATAAGAGCCTCCAAACGAAAGCCACACAGGACATTTTTGTTCTTATTTCACAGGCCCATAAATACTTCAAAGAAGTCCAGCAGTGGAGTAAAGTGTAGGGGCATTTAGCAAGCTGCCACAGCCTCTCAAGACTTTACCATTCACTAGTCACAAGTACATTAAAACCAGGAGCTTGGAATTGAGGAACTCTGTTTCAACCATAATTCAAATCCTTTAGGTCACCTGAAGAGAAGCTCTCAACAATGACTTTGATTAGGAACTTGGCATACTTTTGTTATACTTTTAAACTTTAAAACTTTCTTGTTTATTTTGGACACTTCTATATTATTTCAATTATTGCCACCTACACTTGGTGCTAAGTTGATAAACTCACATTTGGCACATCCATAAAGCTGGATTTTTCTCAAAGATGCAGTGCAGGGGTATCCAACCTTCTGGCATTGCATATGGTACCATAATTTACATACACATTGGACTGTATTTTCAGCTATACTAGGATGCATGCAGCCTGGGTTTAGACACGATTATAGTGTACTTCTGATGAGTTATGCTGGCGAAATCTTTGCTATCTTGCCGGCAAAATTCTCCTCTTTGCTGACAGTAGCTGGGCCGGGACTCCTTCAGGAACATGTTCACTTGTCTACTCTGATAGGATTCAAATATATATACATATACATATATATATATGTATATATTCATAAGGAGCCCTTCAAAGGACTTCTTGGGAAAGATGTAGAATGGGGTTAACATGCCAATGTGGAATTCAGCTACAAGTATCCTGAGCTTATCCACAGAAAACCAGTAGTTCAGGCTCAAATGTGCTCTCCCATTATATTTGCTGAATTCCAAGTCATTTTCCCTGGTGGTGTGTGACCTCTCTGCGCCCTGTTCTCTGAAGGCCTGAGTCACTGCCTAGGCAACTTGCCGAGAACTATGAAGACACAGAGAACAGACAGCACCTTTTAAAAGCCACTGAATCAATGTCAATTGTAGCTTAGGGCATGTTAGAGCTGTAGAAACAGTATAAAATTATATAGGGTGTGAACGGGCACAGAACAATAGAGAGAGAGGCCATGTGTTTTTATATTGGTGATTAATAAGAAAAACGCAGGCTTTATTTATCCTGGGGATGCACCAACTCATGGGCCACAGGTGTGAGGCCCTTTGTAGTGAAAGCCAGCATGGAGGTAAGTGTGTAGGAAGAGCCTTCGTCCTTTGACCAAGTAAGGCAGCAAGAAAGAAAGTTGGTGCACTGTGCATCCTTGCATTTTGTCCTCCTAGTGAGAAAAGAATAACTGGACCAGAATAATGGTTGGTTTCATGGCCTCCAATACCATAAGCAAAAACTCTCATACTCAGAGTCAAAGGCAGGGGAAAGGTCTGGAATCATGTCTTATGTATGCCGGTCAGCAATGTGATGACCACTGGACAGCCCCAAGTGATAAACAAGGGAGGCCCCAACTTCAGACAATATCTACACTGTACTGCATAGACCATGTCACCCCCAGGATATAAGACCTCCTTTCTATGGGCCATAGACGACCTCTCCTCATTACCACTGATTAAAAAACCAAGAAAACCAAAGGCCTAGCCCAAGATCAGACAGCTAATCAAAGTCAGAACTTGAAGCCAGGTATGCTCACTGTGAATTGTCACTGTTGCCTCTGCCATGCTCAGGTTTAACAAGACCCAGTGCCTTTATGATCCAGACCAGAGGCAACTGAGAGGCCACATGAAACTAGGTGGAGGCTCCTAGGGTATAGACACAGGATGAACTTTGAGCTCCCATTCACCGGTGCCTAGCACAGCACAGGCCCGGGGTGGCCAGGTCCCATTACCTTCCAGAGGAGCCAGGGCCCCCAAAGTGGCAAAAGATTTCTGCTTGTACTGGCGGCAGATTTCCCTTGTTTCAACCACAGACCTGTGAACTGTGTTTGGTTTACACGTCATGATCTTCATCTTGTAGTGTCTGTGGAACAACTCCTAGAAAAGAGTCAGAAGGTGGGTAAGTACAGAGCAGAGAGGGAACGGGCGCCTCAAACAATGAAAAAGCACGGACATCTTTTTCGGAAAGGTAAGGTGGGGAATAAGGAGGAAGTGACTGGCCTTCATCTCTCCCTCCACAGAGGGCCCCAAGGGGTAGATGAAGTACTGCACAGCCCCCGAGGAGAGGCTAAGCCTTAACTCAGCTTGGGAAGCAAGTAGCTAAAATGAAGGGGTTAAGCTGAGAAGAACTTGCTGCTATGATGGCGTACATAGCCTAAAAAATTAAGTCAAAGACAGAACCTGTTAGAGATGCATAGGAACAGGGTGTGAGCTCTCCTGATCTCTGCTCACATCTCTGGGGTCTTTGTTCTCACAAAGTTCTCGAATCCTCCTGTTATATAGCCCGGGACATAGCAGGTTTGGGGGAAGCAGAGCTCACACACCCAGATCTCTCTACCTCACCCACATTGTGGGGTTCACTTCAGATGGAATCAAACCAGAGGGCAGCAAAGCGTTTTGAAATACAGATATATATATCATTCCACAAAGGGATTCACCTTTAGTTCCATTATTATGAACTAAGAACACATAAGCAGTTTACCTAATGTTTCCTAGCCAACAGTCAGTTCAAGAGGAACAGGCCTGGGCGTGCTGTCATAAGCAGACACTCTGTATCCATTCTGTAGTTATTAAATACTAATTTATAATGATTTATCCTTTTAATTTGCATGGCTGCCCTCAAAAATCTAATTGCACAGCAGCTCTGCCATCTTCTGAAACACTGGTTAGAAACAGAACAGCGGAGAAAGACAACCGGTTCTAGGGGCCAGGTGCGTAGGAGCTCAGGAGGCTGGAGAGCTCTGACCTGTGGGAGCCCCAGCGACATGGCAGTCCTGGAACGGGCAGTTCGGCAGGCTCAAGGGCTCTCAGACTTAAGAGCCTGCAGACTGGGGAGCACTTATCTGGTGTGTTCTGAGGGCTATGCAGATAGTTGCAAATCACCCTGACTTTCAGAGCTTTTTCTTCCATGACGCGAACTGAGATGACACCAGCTGATGGCATAGTTGGTTAGGAGACAGTGTCTGTGAGAGTCCTTTGCCATTTTGTAGGACACATAGGAAGGCTATAAAAACGAGATTGCTGGAAAGGCGTCTGCTAGAACACATCCAGTTCAAGTCTGCATTTCCCTGTCATTGGCTGGAATTATCTAAAGGGCTGCTTTTGATTTGCTGGAAGCTTCGGTGGGGGCCACTGATTCCAGAGTTCCTATCCAGACAGCACCCTCTCAGCTGTACGCAATCACCCAGGAACCAAACCACAGAGCACCCCATCCCTCAGGAGGACAAGGCTGTTCTGAATAGTGAGGGAGCAGAAGAATTTTCTGTCAAAGACTGAATGTCCTACAGGGCACATGGTGAACTTGAGGAGTGCTTGTGGTGCTTGTGTGTGTAGTGTATGAATGTGCAGGAATGTATGGATAGCGTTATGCATGTGTGTTATATATGGTGCATTCTGCAAGTGTATTGTCTATATACTATGTGTGTGGTATATGTGCATGATGTGTGTCATATTGTGTGTACAGTATGTGGGGGAATATATGGTAAGCATGTCACATGTGATTCATATAGCTTATGGGCCTGTGCAGTACATATGTGATGAATGCTGTATGTATACATGTGGTGTATGTACCATGCATATTGGGGAAATATTTTAGGATATGTAGTATATGTGTTGCATGCTATCTGTGTTCACTGTGTTCTCTGTTCACTGGGGATATGCAGTAAGCATAGGTAGTGTGGTATATTACAGCATGTGTGTGCTATGTGTGATGTTGCACTGGGGATGTGCAGTATGTGTGGAGTGTGTGACACATTACAGCATGTATGTGGGGTGTGTGTGTGTGTGTGCGTGTGTGAATGGCATATATGGGGGTACTTACTGGGTTGTCAGTGTGTCAACAAACAGACTCTTTTTTGGGTCAGGGTTCAGTTGATAGTGACAGCTAAGAGAGCAGCAGGGGAAAAATAATAGAAGGTGAAACCAATGCAAGCAAACATGGGTTGACTCACTGCTGAAAATGTCTCCAAAGATAACAGTCTTGAAAAAATAAATAACTTAAGCTGATAGTGATATCATCAGGACTCTGGTAACCTTGGACTCGAATTCATTTTTTCTGTTTTTTTTTTTTAATAATGACACTATTCTGAAGGGTGCTTCACCAGCTATGAGGAAGGCCCTATCAGTGATCCAGCTCCCCCTACCCCAGGTTTAAGGTGGGGCCTATCACTGAGTGCCTTCCTTCCCATTGGAACAGGTCTATGCAGCCCACATCTGAGTGTGGTGCTGCAGTGATGATGTTTGTGTTACTGCATGGAGGTCATGGAGGTGGCCTGAGCTGTGCCTAGCTATAAGAAATAGAAACCCAACCATATCACCACAATGAAAAGGGGATTTATTCTAAGGCTGGGCATGCAGTGGGAGTAGGATCAAACCAGACTAAGAACCACAGCAAGGAGGTCCTCTGCCTTCTTCCTGGGAGGCCGGTGTACCAGTCAGAACTGACCTCTAACTCCTCTGCACGTGCTCAGCTTCCCAGCTGCACATACTTTTTCTCTGGCTTGGCCACAGACTCTCTTCAGAGATGCATCAAGGGCTGGACATGGTGACACACACCTTCATCTCAGCACTTGGGAAACAGAGGCAGAGGCAGGTGGCTCTCTGTGAGTTCGAGACCAGCCTGGTCTACATTAGCAAGTTTGAAACCAGGCAAGGCTACACAGTGAGACCCTGTCTCAACAAACAAACAATCTCACCAAGACACTTACTGCATTTTCTAACAGGCAACAGCTTAGCAAGTTGTGGTAATTTCTAACGATGTATTTAGCCAGCTGCAGGAATTTTTAAACTGGGTTATTCATCCTCTAGGGTTTTGAGGGCAGAACACCTTCCCCTTGGTTCCGGAGAAGTTTTCAGAGTAATAGTGACCTACCAAAAAGGATCAGATTTCCTAAAGAATCAAATCAACTGATTATCAGAGTCTGTCACCATAGTCCATCCAATACTAGCTGCTGAGGAACTTATCTGTTCCTCATCCCTGATGGTGAATGCCCTGGGCCTAGGCCCCTGGATCCTGTGTAGTGGAGATGTGGGAGGGGCCTCAGCCTCTTCTGACTGTGCTATTCAAGTGGAATTGAGCTTGCCTGTACCACTGCAGCCTGGACTATCTCTGAACTCCTTGCCATGTTAAAATGCACTTACTTCAGGCCTCTTTAAGAAATGCTTCGCATCTCCAGCTTCCTGCCCTAGAGGGCCCAAGGCAGGATTGTCATTTATTTTGTTTGTATTTCCCTAATGTGGGAAAGCTCTGCCTTCCAGGGTTCTGCTTGTAAATCTAGTGTGTGATAAGTCTGGAACTGGCAGCCGTCACAGGACTTGTCTTCCTGGCCAGCCTTTTCCGCCACCTGCCCTGGTTTCCAGTGTGGCTTACCCACGTGCCACTCTGTGTTCTCTTCGCCACTCTCCTTCATTTCCTGGCACAGCCTCTGCACTCATAGAGAGCCAGTGAAGACCCCAGCGTCCTATCTCCACTCTAAGTGTCCCTCACATGATTGCTGCTGTGTGGGTGTGCTTGGACAACGCTGATTCAACATCTTAGCCTTGGGTCCTGGGACGCTGACACAAGGTTGGCCACTCTCTTGCTGCTTCCCTGTGTGGCCTATGACGGCCTGCACATAAAGTTAAAGCACTCAAACAGTCCTGTGTCAGAAGGATGGAGGGAAGTGGTCCCTGACCATGGGACTCCAGAGGCATCAAGTGAGGTGGGAAATTGCTGGATTGGTATAGAATCCATGAGGCACCTTTCCCTTCTTTCTGGACTGCGGCCTCATATGCCCCTGGATTGGAACCAAATGTTCTGGAGACCTATCAGACACTAACTTGGTGCCTTCAAAGGCTTAGGAAATCCATCTCACTCAACAGTTCCATTTCTACCTCCATCCAGCAAGTTCGCAACTCAAACTGTCCATGTGCACTTTCAGAGCTATTGATGCCAGCCTCTGAGGACACCATGAGTTCAGGCTTTGTAGGCTTCAGACCCACGACCCAGTGAGCAGTTAGAAACCATCTAGGTAAATACAGCACCCGGGGCCAGTAGTGGAGCCACACAAAGGTAATGGACAGTAGATGTCACTGGGTTCAGAAGAAGCCACACTTTCCTTCTCGGTCCTGATAGAGTGACATTGAAGCAGAACCTCAGCAGGGAAGGACTCTGTCACGCTCCCATCTGGGAGAGCACAGCGTCTGAGAGAAGAGCCTATCCAACAGAGGCTGCCCAGTGAGGCCTAACTCAGACCACAGCAGGTACTTACTAGTAGGAGTGTGGTTGAGCAAGGATGTGGGTATGAACAGATGAGTAAATGTCTCTCATCGAGACTTTCAGTTTGTCACTTTAGCCAGGGAGAAGAAAATGCAAAAGATGGTGTGAAATGAGGCTTTAACAGAGGAAGCTGCATTCTACCTTTCTCAGAGAGAGCTCGAGACTCGGTGGCACTGCCTCCTGTGCCTTGTGAGCAGACTTTGGTGGTTACTATGAGGAAGACTCTCTTGTGTTCTTGGCAGAATAATGTTGAGGGTTCATCCTATGCCAGATGGCAATAAGTTGCAACATAGCCATTTGTCCCAAACATCAACAGCCATACAAATAGGGTCTTACCAGCCAATTAGGAGGCTGAGTGTGAGAGGCAATTTCTTGGCCCTCATTAACTAAAAAGGAACGGCCACCCTTCGGCGCAATGTTGCCCGAACAATGTTGCAAAACAGAAGATCGTCAGAGTCTGTGAATGGAATAAAGTTTGGAAGGAGGGCTAGTGAGATGGCTCGGAGGACGAGGAGGCACTTGCTGCCTGTTCTGACGACCTGAATTTGATCCCTAGAACTCAAATGGTAGAAGGGAAGAAATGACTCTAGCAAGTTGTCCTCTGACCCCCACGTGCATCCCA